GGTAGTTTTCAACATGTGGCTCTCGCCTCAGCGCCGCGCACACTCGTCTTAAAACGTTGCAAGAATTATCAACGAAAGCGGCTCCACATCAAAATGTAGACTTTCGCATGAAAGCTGTGCGCATTCGTTTTAACACATTACGCAACATAAAGGGTTTCCAGTGCTAGCGCACCTGACAGGATTTTGTTGAACGATTCACTTCACGATTGTCAGGGCGCAGCAGTTACGTTGATTCGCGGTGTTAATCTCCAAGGAATGGCATTCAGCTAAGATTCAGGATCGCCAAGACGCAACAATCAGCTTGATTAGCGGTGTTGGAGTTCCGATAACGGTGTAATGGCACGCTGCAAGATCTTCAAACGGTTGTCTCCCAACGGGGAACTTCCACCAATGGGAGTGAATCCTTGTAGGGGCCAATGAACAAGGGAGCTTGGGGGGAGGGTGTTTTCCAGCATCGTTGAGGACTTGTGGGTTTCTAATGGTCCTCCTCCTTCCCCTCCTTCTCCTCCTCTTCCCCCTCCTATCCTCCTCCTCCTCCTCCTCCTTCTCCTCCTCCTCCTCCTCCCCCTCCCCCTCCACATCCTCCTCCACCACCTCCTCCTCCTCCTCCGCCTCCTCCTCCTAGGGGCACTTTGGGTTGCTGGCTTCCTGGAGGCACTTGGCGTTGCTGGTTTTGCGTGCCTTTGCGTCCGAGGGATATGTCCACATCTGTATATATGTATAGACATACACACATATATATATATATACAGATATGTGTATGTATACAGATGTGTGCGTGATAGGTACTGGCACCATGTGCACCCCAAAACTAAAGTATACCTCGCCTTGAATGGACCATCTGGTCTCTCTCTCTCTCTCTCTCTCCCTTGGCCAAAATTCCCCGTGTGGCCAAGGCCATGGGTCCAATCGTCCTGGGAAAGACAATGACAAGACAATGGATACCTTTCCGGCTTGAGACTGGATCAACTCAGCTTCGCATCCGCAAATCGAAGGCCACTCCCGATTATGATGCCAAACGGGGGGGCAACTGGGGAGGAGGCACATAATAGTCTGGATCGAATGAAGGCTAGGATGAGGAGGAGGAGGAAGAGTCAGTGCGCCACGGGCCGCCAGGCATACAGCAAACATGTTCCGTTCGGCAGTTTCAGCCTGCGTGTGGCGTCAGGAGGGGTACGCTTATAGGCTTACCATTTAGCGAAGTGGTGCTTCGGAGCAGAGTGCGACGACTTGCGCCCCTCCTCTTCCCACGTGTAGCGACAACCAAAGCCACGTCCTACTCTCACGTCCTGACTGCGATGGCGGCTTCTCGACACCGAGGCCGACGTCGAGGAAACGGTGTGGAAGGAAGAACAAGATAATGATGATGCTGATGATGATGATGAGGGAAACGGAGGGAGGAGGAGGAGGAGGACGAAAAGAGAGGATGAAGGACGAGGAGGAGGAACAAAAAAGAGGAAGCGAAGGATGAGGAGGAGGAGGAGCAGAAAAACATTGAGGAGGAGCACGGGGGGGAGGAGGACGACGAAGAGGAGGAGGATGTACGAGGAGGAGGAAAAAGAGGAGAAGGACGAGGAGGAGGCGAGGATGAGGAGGATGAGGATGATGAGGCGAAGGATGAGGAGGAGGAGGAGGGGGAGGAGGAGGAGGAGGAAGAGGAGGACGAGGAAGAGGAGGAAGAAGAGGAGGACGAATAGGATGAGGACGAAGAGGACGAGGAGGAGAGCGCGACCCGGGACCCGGCGGCTGATCGGGGCGGGTCCGAGCCCGCGTGGCCTTTTGCTGCTGCTCGGCCTCCTCGCCCTGGGCAGCGAGAGGGGGTGCACCGCCGCGGCCACCGCTGCCTCCGCCGCCTTCGTTCCTGAGGATCCTCAATTGGCACGCACAGAGACGTGGTGATACTATATGTCCTCCTTGGAAGCGCGCGTCCAATCCGACGCCACGACGTATGTACCATAAGATTTCTCGGTGCGCGCGTCGCCCCTTGGGGGGGGGGGACGCACACATACTATTAGTAGGTTGGAGGGGGCGCCGATCACTCCCGATCGCTGCTACTGGCGTCGTGCTACCATAGGAAACGCCCTAGCCCTTGGCGGAAAGAGACACACAACCGCGGCCACCGCCACGGCCAGCACTGCCACCTCCGAATGCGCTCTGGAGGATCCTCACGCCCGATCGTGGCTACCGGTATTAGACAAGCGCGTTACACCACTCGCAAGGTAACTAATCGCACAAACCCTGGATCCGCCATGGAGGATTCACGATGCATTACACTAGAACCATCTCGCGCGCTTCTCGCGCGCCCAGCTTCTCGCAAGCCCCAAGCCTTGACGAGTCCACTGCTCCACTGAAGTAGGGCCACCGACGGTTTGAACAGGAAGTGAGGAAGTGTTGATAGCGTTGAACGAACCATGGGCTGTGAGAAATCGATGCGTGTCAATCCGCATTCCGGAAGGCTTTCAGGGAATATAGTTGCGTAGGGGGGCAGAGGCCTGATTAACCAGGGTTCCCACACTGCCTCTACGCCTCGGGGCCACGGCGGGCGGATCGGGCCCCCTAGGCTCGCCTGGCTCGCCTGGGCCTTCAGGCCGTCCCCTCCTACTCCTCCTCCTCCTCCTCCTCCTCCTCCTCTTCCTCCTCCTCCTCCTCCTCCTCCTCCTCCTCCTCCTCCTCCTCCTCCTCCTTTTCCTCCTCACCTTCTCCTCCTCCTTCTCCTCAGACGCTGGGCGAGGAGGGCGAACGCCTTTCCTCGTGGCCTGTGGGCGCCCGCGGCTGTCCTCCAGCCACCGGGCGCGAGCTCTGTGGCCTCGCACTGCGCGGGGCCACTGACCACCCCCCCCCGCGCGAGGCGCCCGTCGCCTCCGCGCGGGGGAGGGCCCTCCCTCGGGAGACCGCTGGGGCGCGCCGACCGCTATGCGGCAAGCGCACAAGCTGGACACCGAGCACCTTGTGGGGCCCGAGTGAAAACACCTGGCGCCCCACCACCTCAATATATGGCGGGGGTGGATGGGGCCTCGAAAGAAAACTCTGGGCACCGCAGGTGCCCTTGAGCAGGGAGGACACAAGAGGGGGGAAGCAAGAAGACAGGCTGCGACAGGTAGGGAAACCTGCTGATCTAGCGAACGTCTAAGTCTCCCCCCTGCCTCTACGCCTCGGGGCCACGGCGGGCGGATCGGGCCCCCTGGGCTCGCCTGGCTCGCCTGGGCCGTCAGGCCGCCCCCTCCTCCTCCTCCTCCTCCTCCTCCTCCTCCTCCTCCTCCTCCTCCTCCTCCTCCTCGCCTCCTTCTCCTCAGACGCTAGGCGAAGAGAAACGCATGTTTTCATGGCCTGGGGGCGCCCGCGGCTGTCCTCCGGCCGCCGGGCGCGAGCTCTGTGGCCTCGCGCTGCGCGGGCCACTGACCCCCCCTGAGGCCCCAGGCGCTCCGCTTCTCCGCGGGCCGCGCCCCCCCCCCCCCCCCCAGAGCCCCCGCCAGCGCTGGGGGGGGGACCTGACCCCGAACTATCTATCCAGCTCTCCTGGCATCTTCTGGCGCCTGCAGCGCCCAACTGAGCGACGCCTCTAAAAGCCTCGCGAGCCTCATCCCCGCGCCGCAGCCCAAGGGGCTGCCCCTGCGCGCTGAGCCTCTGGCCCCCGTCCGCCGTCACCCAGCACCGCCGCAGACCGCGGTCAGGTCGGCGGCCGCCATGCTGCTTGCCACGCCCTGCGCCATGTCCCTCGCCTCCCAGAGAGAACCCCTGGAAGGCGTCGCTGTTCCGGCGCTCCCGCCTCTGCGCCAGTGCCGAATCCTTGCGCGCTGCGTACAGGGCTGACGCGCCGCCGGTCCTCAGGCCGTGGGAGCCCAAGTCGTTCGGTTCGACTCCCTCTTCCACCGCCGCCTGCATCACCACCCACTGGATATCCGCCCGGGTCACCAGCCGGTCGTCGTCGTGCGCGAACAGCGGGTCGTGCATCCTGAAGCCCGAGAACCACTCCCTCGCCCATCCTTCGAAGACGGTCAGTGCCTCCACGACGCAGATGTGGGCCTCCGCCTCCGCCTCTGCCGTCGCCTCAGCCTTGAAATGGTTGCGAAACTCTTCGCGGTTGTACTGGTCGGTCTTGATGATCACCTGCACGGCTCGCCCGCTGCCCTCGGCGTGACATCCAACCCGTGCAAGCCCTTATTGCCCGTGCAGACGTTCTGGTCGCTCGACACGTACTCGCTGGCCCGCAGCAAGAAGCAGCAGCCCGCGGCGACCGCCGCCCGCAATGCCGCTCCTTTTTGCGATCTGTCTGGATGCAGCTTCTTCCTGATCCATCGCAGCATGCGAGGGTGGCGGGCTTCTTCCTCCTGGGCGTTTTGCTGCGCCGCCTGAGCCCATCGATAGTCATCCAGAGTCGCCCGCCCTGCTCCCGCCGCGAGGTCGCCCACGCCCAGCGCCAGGTGCTGCGCCCTCACAGCGCTGAGGCACTGCTTGATCGCACCTGCCCTCTTGAGCCCTCGCCTCGACGCGTGCGACACGAAGTCCTGCGGCAACACCTCCTCCGCCCTTCTGGTAGACTTGGTGACCTCCCGCAACGTCTAATGGCGCGCGCCCACCAGAAGAGCGACCACCAGCGCCATCCCAGGCTGTAGGACTTGATGGTGGAGCCTGCCAGCTTGTCCAGAATGAGCTCCAAGTTGGCTCTCTCCCAGTACTCTGGCGTCTTCAGGCCCGCGAAGATCAGGTCGTCGGGCTCGGCCTTGGCAAGCACGGCCTCCGGCCCCACAAGGTTGGCAGGCTGTCCGACCGTCAGTTCAACGCTCACGCCATTGCGCTTCCTGCTGGTGTCTCTCTGACTCTTCAGTTGGCCCCCTCCTCCCCTCAGCACCCGCGCGCCGCGCAGCGCTCGGCTCTGGCGCGGCAAGCTTGGCTCAAGCACTCGGCCCTGGCGCGGCAAGCTTGCCATTTCTCATTATCCTTATTTCTCTTTCTTTCTTCCCCACACGTGCACTCAGGCAGCGCAGCGCGGGCCGCGCTTCATGGCAGAGCTGCTGCTCGGCCAGCTCGGCCTCGAAGCAGCGCTCAGCAGCGCCGCTCGCGGCGCCGCGGGCGCCCGGCCGCTGGCGGCGATGGCCCCAAGGACTGTCCTCATCATGGATACGGTCACGAGCAAGTTTGGATCAGATCCCCCCGCCAGCGAATTGAAATACATATTCCTGCGTGCCAGGTTGTCCACGGCAGAGGAGCTAAGGGCACTTTCAGAGACTGCGTCCATCGCAGACATGGTCAATGAATTGTCTACGTATTGGCGTGATCTTCATAATCCAGACGCTCATTGCCCCCCAGGCGTCAGGGCAGCATTGTCGATGGTGGTGAAGGCGATCTGCCCCGTCCCGGCGCCCGTGGCACCCGAGCGGCCAGGAGAGGCGTCAGCCCCAGCAGGTGTCCAGAACCAGTTGCGCCTATTGCAGGCGGCATTGACGCTCAGCAGCGGGTCCGCGATGTCTGTCCTTGAGGAAGAGACCAAGGGCGACCTTGGCCGTCTCATCGAGGCGCCAGGCCTCGGCGAGCCCGCGCTGCGCGCCTACCCCGCGACCAAGCAACTGCAGTTACGCGACGCCGCCGCGAAGCTCGGCAAGCCCCTGCCGCATGAGGACTCCATCGAGGGGCTCGAAAAGTCCAGGTCCTGGACGGAGGGCCGGGCCTCTGCGGAATGGGTCGTAGCCTTCATTCGCTACTCTTGTGCTGGCTTACTGCACGGTCGCATCGCAGTCGCGTCGGTGTTGAATCGCATCGACAAGGTCGCGCGGCTGGCGGCGGACACTGCCAGCCCGGCTTCGCAGGCTGAGAAGAACGCCCCCGCCTACGACCAGCTGGTCAGGAGCGCCGCTTGGGCTGCAGCCAAGCGCAAGGCCGACCCAGCGGCCTTTGAAACAACTATGTCCGGCGACAAGCAGGACTTGGTCACGCAGACAAAGGAGGAAGCGAAGGATGTCAAGCTCCACGCCCCGGGCGCGAGCACGAGGGCCCAGCGGAAGCCGGGTGCGGCCCACTTCTGCTTCAGGCATTTCTCCGGCAAGTGCGACATGCGCGATCGCGGCAAGACGTGCGTCTTCCACTACGAATGCCCGTTCTGCGCCAAGACGCAGGAGGGCTGCCTAGCGAACCACATCAAGCCGCTCGGCCTGGAGCTGATCAAGACCAGGGACAAACGTGCCCTCGAGGAGCGCGCCGGCGGCAAGGGCGCAACCACAGGCGGGCACCCGTGGTCGCGCGGACGCGGTGCTGAGGACCGGGCCGACGGCGGGCGGGCGGAGCGCAGGCGCTCCCGCTCCCGCAGCCGCGGGCTCGCGCCGGCCAAGCGCGAGTACTGGGGGTGCCCAGCTGCCGGGGGGCCCCCGCTGGCGGCCGGGGCCCGCCCCGCGGCGGTTGGGAAGACGCCCGGGCCCGCTGCCGTCGCTTCGCCTGCCGAGCCAGCAGACCGCGAGGCGACGTTGGCGTGGGCTCAGTCAGCGCCCTTCGCGCTCCTGGAGCCAGGCTGCAATTGGGAGCAATCGCTCTGCGATGCTATGTCGCTCAGGGCCAAGCTTGGCGCGGGCTTGTCTGATTCCCAGCAGCAGCAGTGGCGCAAGCTCGCCAGCTGGAAACAGCACTTCCACGCCACCGGCGAGCAGGCGCAGTGGGCAAGCAGCATGCCCGCGAGCGTCAGGCAGGTCTGCGGCCACCTGCAGGGCCCGCTCCTCAGGGCCGCCTTGAGAGCGGCCCGCCACGACGACGCCGGCTTTGTCGATGACCTGCACGGCGGGTTCCCGGCGATCGGGCGCATCCCCCCGAGCGGCACCTGGTCGCCGCGCGCGGAGCAGCCCGCCGACGAGCTCAGCGACCTCTTGCAGGCAACCAGAGAGCGTCAAGGCGCTGGCCGCGTCTCCCTGGCAACTGCGCACCAGGGCGAGCTGTGGTCGGCGGTCGCCGCGCAAGCCGCGCGCGGGCGCTTCGAGGTTGTCCGGGGCTCTGGGCTCTCAGACCTGGTGCGCCGAGTCCGGTATCAGCTTGGCGATTTCGTCGACCAGCTATACTTCGGCGTCGAGCAGGGCGGCAACGTCCGCGGCTGCCAAGGATCTCGCGCTTCTGGCGTGGCTGCCCCCACCCAGCTGAACGAGAAGATGCACATGATGGGCATCGACGGCGTCACCGCGTTGGCCCGGGCAGGCGCGAGCGTCCACCCGCAGGAGCAGCTCAACTTGGCCAAAGTTGACTGGAAGAAGATGTTCCACCAGGCGGGCTTGCTCCCCGAGCATCGCCGGTTCTTCGTCTCCTTCGTGCTCGACACGGATAAGGGCGAGCTGGTCGCAGTCATTCCCAATTGTATGACATTCGGCGGCCGCGCCCATCCACAGCAATGTTCGCGTATGCCGCGGGCAGTCGCGACGGTGGCCCGCCGTGTCTTCGGGCTGCTTTGCGACCACCACGTAGACGACGTGGTCGGGTGCGCTCCCCAGAGCCTGGCCGCTAACGAATTCCGGCTGCTGTGCGACCTGCACGAGCTCTTTGGCTTCGAGGTCGCTGGGGCCGGGGACCCGGAGGACAAGTTCTTCGAGCCGAGGCGCGGCGGCGTGCTTCTGGGGGCCGCCTTCCACCTGCCACCGCCGCGCGGCATGGCGGACGACGTTCTCGTGGAGTGGTCGATCCCCGCACGGAAGGCCACCGCATACGCGACCGAGTTGTCGCAGGCGCGAGATAAGTGCACCCCGGGCGCGGCGTCCAAGCTGGGGGGGCGCCTCATTTGGGCCTTCTCCTTGGTGTGGGGCAAGGCAGGTGGCATCTTCCTCCGGGCTATCTACGACCAAGCCCACGGGTCGACGTCGCGGACGGATCGCCGCTTCCGGATGTCAGTCGACGGCCTGCGCGAGATGCTCAGCGCGCCGGGGCCCGGGCAGTTTTCCAGGCCGGTGCTGCGCCGGCCTCGATCGCGCCCGCGCTGCGTTCTGATCGGAGACGCCAGAGGCCGCGGCGAGCCGCGCGGCACTGAGGCGTTGGGGGCCATCTTCCTGGACGCGCGGCAGCCAGTCGCCGAGTTCTTCGTCGCGCCCGTGGACTCGGCCCATCGAGCGCTTCCTGCCCCCCGGGCGGGAGCAGCGCATCAACGAGGCCGAGACCCTCTGGATCTGGCTTGCTTTTCGGACGTGGGGCCGCCATCTGGAAGGCGCAGACGTCACCGTCGTCGTGGACAGCTCCGCGGCGGAGGGCGTCATCCGCAAGGGCATGAGCGGATCGGCCACGCTATGCTGCCTGAGCGCAGAGGTGTGGCGAGACGCCCGCCTGCGAGGCGCGCGCCTCTGGGTGGCCCGCGTCCCGTCCGAGGCGAATCCGGCAGATCCGCTGGGCCGTTTGATCGTCCAGCCGGCTCTGGCGCGCGGCTGGCGCCAGGTGTCCGCGGACGCGCCGACGCAGTGGCATTTCGATCCCCGCCTGCGGGGCCGGTGACCGCCCGCGCGGGTTGTCATCTATGTGGGGCAGGGCTGTTCGCAGCTTCCCCGTGGCCGTTTCTGGGGCAGGGCTGGCGCCTCCTCGGTTCCCTTTCTGGGGCGGGGCTTTCGGGCACCCCAATTCGTCGCAGGGCAGGGCTTGCGCCTCCCTGTTCTTCCGCGCGGGGGCTGGGCCCGCGCACCTCCGCTTCGTCTTCCTAGGTCTGGCCAGCGCCGCTTCCATTTCTCACTCCCCGGCCGCGCCGTGGGCGAGGCAGCGCGCCCGACCAGCATCGAGCAGCGGCCCTGCACCAGCAATACGATTATGAACATCCTTGATTCGCAGTGCATCTACATCGTCATCGTCATCGTCGTTGTCTTTGCCTTCTTTGTCATCGCCGTCTACTTTGTCCATCCTTCTCGCTCCCTTCCTTCACCTCGTTCGGGGAGTCCGGGGGCCCCGAGTGCGAGTCCGATTTGCTCGCGGGACTCGGCCAGGGCAGTGGCGCGACGGGCCGTGAGCCCACTGCGCAGTGAGAGCTGTCGACGGGGCCTGCTGCTGCCTGCTGCTGCCCGTGCCCTCCTGCCCCTCGCTCGTGCCCCCCTCCTCCCACCCCCTGTTCCTGCCCCCCCCCCTTGCATTCCCCTCTCCCTCCTCCGGGACGGGGGGCGAGAGGTCTCTCCGAGGCGGCGGGTTCGGCACCCGCGCTTGGCTCCACTGAACGTTCGTGTCCCTTTCATCTTCGTTGGCTGCTCGTTCTGGCGTCGCAGGCCAGGGAAGTGCGGATTCAGCGGAAGCGAAATTCATTCCCCAGACCTCCCGATCCCACGATTCACCTTCGATGGCCAGTTGCGCCGGGCCTCGGGGAGTTCGTTCCGGGAGCCTGTCTTCGTGAATGCGGCCAGCGATGCGCGGAAGATTTGTGAACCAGAGTTCGGTCTTTGCCGACGGGCGGGCATGTCTGGGAGCGCTGATCCAGCGGATGCCCTCCCTGGAGTTGTCGATCCCAAGTTTCCTCTTCGATGGGCTGTCGTGCCAGGCCTCGGGGAGCTCGTACCGGGCGTCTGTCTTCGCGCATGCGGCCAGCGATGCACGGAAGATTTGTGAACCTGAGTTCGGTCTTTGCCGACTCGGGCGGCGATGTCTGGGAGTGCGGATCCAGCGGTTTGCCCTCCCTGGAGTTCTCGATCCCAAGATTCCTCTTCGATAGGCTGCCGTACCGGGCCACGGGGAGCTCGTTCCAGGTGTCTGTCTTCGTGCATGCGGCCAGCAATGCACGGAAGATTTGTCCGACTCTCGGGCGGTCACGCTGGTAAGTCCAATGATAGCATCTAAGGACAACATTTGGTCAGGGCACTATTGCCCTGACGGGGCAGCCCCGTCAGGGCGCGATTGCCCTGACGAGGCTGCCCGTCGTCATCATCTTCATCGTCATCATCCTCATCATGATCGCTGGCTGCCTCAATCATCAGCAGGAGTGCCCTGGCATCATCATCATCAACATCAGCATCATCATCATCGCTGGCATTATTACAACCATAATAATCATCATCATCATCATCATCATCATCATCATCATCATCATCATCATCATCATCATCATCATCATCATCATCATCATCATCATCATCATCATCATCCTCATCATACGTCGAGCCTATCGCCTAACCGTCGTCGCCCTCACCATACCCTCCCTTCACCTTACTCCAGCCACCATCGGTTGGACGCGTCAAGCTTAAACCTTTGTGTTATTGAACGAACGAGCGTTGATTGAAGGTGCCCCAAAATGTCTAGGCAGACCCGCGCGGGGGCCCCGAAGAAATTGCAGAGAAGACTCGAGCGGTAGCCCGGCTAGCCCCGTTGTGCCCCTACCCCGATGGCCACCGATGGCCGCCGAAGGCCCAGTGTCCAAGCGCTCCTCCTCCTCCTCCTCCTCCTCCTCCTCCTCCTCCTCCTCCTCCTCCTCCTTTTCCTCCTCCTCCTCCTCCTCCTCCTCCTCCTCCCTCCTCCTCCTCCTCCTCCTCCTCCTCCTCCGCCTCCGCCTCCGCCTCCGCCTCCGCCTCCGCCTCCGCCTCCGCCTCCGCCTCCTCCTCCTCCTCCTCCTCCTCCTCCTCCTCCTCCTCCTCCTCCTCCTCCTCCTCCTCCTCTCCTCCTCCTCCTCCTCCTCCTCCTCCCCCTCCCCCTCCTCCTCCTCCTCCTCCTCCTCCTCCTCCTCCTCCTCCTCCTCCTCCTCCTCCTCCTCCTCCTCCTCCTCCTCCTCCTCCTCCTCCTCCTCTCCTCCTCCTCCTCTCCTCCTCCTCCTCCTCCTCCTCCTCCTCCTCCTCCTCCTCCTCCTCCTCCTCCTCCTCCTCCTCCTCCTCCTCCTCCTCCTCCTCCTCCTCCTCCTCCTCCTCCTCCTCCTCCTCCTCCTCCTCCTCCTCTCCTCCTCCTCCTCCTTCCTCCTCCTCCTCCTCCTCCTCCTCCTCCTCCTCCTCCTCCTCCTCCTCCTCCTCCTCCTCCTCCTCCCTCCTCCTCCTCCTCCTCCTCCTCCTCCTCCTCCTCCTCCTCCTCCTCCTCCTCCTCCTCCTCCTCCTCCTCCTCCTCCTCCTCCTCCTCCTCCTCCTCCTCCTCCTCCTCCTCCTCCTCCTCCTCCTACGACCGACGTCCGACGACGTGACTGCGTGCTTTATGCCATTCCTGGAATCCCCTGGAATCCCTGGAATCCCATAGAATCCCCTGGGGTCACCTGGAATCGCGTGGAATCCCATGGAATCGCATGGAATCCCCTGGAAGGAGGATGCAGAGTGACGCTGAAAAGCGAGGGGCTGGAGAATGGAAGGGGTGGGGGGGGGGGCAAGAATAGCAGGGGTGGTGGGTTAGATATTTCTTCCTCTCGAAATCGAGGCCCGGGCAGTCGCCGCCCAGTCGCCGCCCAGTGAAACCAGAAGCAAGATACGAGAGGAGGGATAGGAGGGAGAGGAGGGAGAGGTGGATAGGATTGGAGATAAGAGAGGAGGCGAGGAGGGAGGAGGACATCTGCTCATGGTCGGCACGGGTAATTCGCCCCAGCAGAAGATATTGCATTATAAGGTGCAACGCCTCGCCTGGTGCTGCGACGCAGCAAAACAGACCCGTAGGCACCGCCAGCACGCGTTGAGTGCAAACCAAATCTTGTGGATTGACTGGCCAGTTCAGGCCCGTACCAACACGTTTCGCACGCGGCTGGCGGTGCCTTTCGTGACAGGCGGCCGAACCTTATAGAAACCCCGAGCTCCAAAAAAAAACGAGCTCGTGACAGAAGGTAAGACCCGTAGCTGCAGCTGGCCCTCTTGCCCTTGCCTTTGGTGCCTTTGGCCTTGGACCCCTTCGAGCCCTTGCCATTGGCACCTGCGTCAGCACTGTCGACGGCAGAAGCACTGGTGGGCGTCTTCGCGGCAGCTGCGGCAAAGCCCGGGAACCCTAAGCACTCTGAAGTGTTGAATCTCACCGCCTGATCGTTGTTGCTACTCTTGCCCTTGCCCTTGCCCTTGCCGAGACCTTTGGCCCCTGGCATACGGCGCGTCAGGGCGTCTCCTTTCAAGAGACCGTGGGCAGGCTCCACATAGTGCACAGTGAGCGGCACGATCACCTTCCCGTTCACATCGCGAAGGGCCGCTAACTCGGCAAAATTGACCAGGCTCTTGGACAGCTCTACCGCGTATGCCTCCTGCTCGTAGGTCATCGTCGGCTGGTTGCTTTTGTCGGCAACTGGGATGATCCACGCAGGAACGAATGAGGCTTCCCCCCACAGATCGACCAGCTTGTCGGACGTGACACATAGGGTCAGCTTGACATCTTCTCCAAACAGCAGCGTCACAAGAGGCAACTTCGATACGTAGTTCGGTTGGCAGATCTGAACGCGTCCAGCGAAATCCGACGACCATCGGCCAGGCTGTGGACTGTGGACTGCACCGAAGGAGTAGACCCAGGTCGGCCCATTGGGGGAGGTCGAGACCGAGTCGGTGCATGATCACATCCAGTCGAGAAAGGCGCCCTACCCCTCCTCAACCTCAACATCCCCTCCGAGAACACAACCTCACATCAGTCGCCCTCGCATCAGTGTTCAGGCGGATCAGGCCAAAAGGCTTATCAGCTACAGTTTGCCGATCGTGTCAGAATTCATCCTGATAACGCAGGTCTTGGGGCCCGGAGCAGCAGGATCTTCGAAGATGCACTAGAGGTCGGCCAACCATCCGTTGCCCTTGCTCATGAAGGCGAGTTTTTAGAGCTACGATTCCAACCCCATGCTAAGCATCTTGACGAACTGAGTCGAATACGACTCCCTTGGGATATTCACAGTCTGGATCTTGTTGGCACCATGGTGGTCACCGTCGCCCTTAGCCGTGAGCGCCAGCATGCTGCCCATGATGACCGCGGCGCGCTCAGCGTCCTTGGCCGAACCCGAGCAAACGCAAAAGATTCGAAGGCTTGGAAGGGGGGCCGACCTCGGTGACCTTGCCGACCTCGGAAGCCCACTGGGCAGGGACCCTGGGCCTGGGAACCTCTGTGGAAGGCCCTCCCCCCAAGCTTTCGACCCTCAGCGAGTGTTCGATTGATGTTTGCAGCCCGCTGGTTCCTTGGCTGTATCAGGGTGGACGAGGTTGGCGATGTCTTTCATCGTCGTCACCTTCGGCAACGGATCCTCGGAGCTGCCCTTGCCGCCATCCTGGCCTTTGCTGGCGCCTGTGGTCTCTCCTTGTCCATCGTCGTCTTGCCCGCGCAGGAACGCGTTGAAAACAGGTTTGGCTTCGGCAAGGAGTTTGTCCTTCTTGTCCATGAGTGCCGCGAAGAGCCTGGACCACTGCATGGGCCACTCCTTCGCGATGTCAAAGTCACTGGAGTCGTTGGAGCAAAGGTCGCCTTCGAATGTAATGGCCAGCTGGACGAACGTGTTAAAGTTAGCCGCAATGCAATTTACAACATCACGGGCAGGAGTCGATTGCGCACATGAGTTCTCCAGGGGACCTCCGCCAAGGACTCCATCGACGAGGGCAGGAAGA